GGTGTGGAAAAGAGCCATCCGCAGAATCTATTGTTTTGGAATCATTAGGAATACGGCTCCACCTCTTGTATTAAGTCTGGTCACTTCTGTGAGAAGGTGTGGATGTGAGAAGGAAGTAAAATGAGGAGAAAAGTATAACAATGAATAAATAGATTATAAGTTTGTTCATAAGTCCTAAGGGAAATGTTTTATATAAAACGTATATAAATAACTAAATAACAGTTCTCTCCCAAAATTTTCTTTTATTATTATGTGCGTGACATTTCAGGATCTATTTTGTGATGAAAATAGATTCAGTTATTTTTCTATGTGTACTATTTGCGTCATTGTATAATATTTGAGGTTCTGTTAAGTTAAATTTTTGATATTGTGGTGAGCAAGGGCTGTTTTATTATCTAATTTAGTATTATTTGAATCTTAAGATGCTGGTTCATTCTTTTTGCAATATTTTGCCTGAATTCCCATATGTACACTGATTCATAATTATTGCAATAAACTTGATAAATATCTTTTTATTTTAAATTATTTATTTTGTCTTTCATGTTACTAAAATGGTAATAAATTTTAATTTGATTATATAAACCAGTATTGATCTCAGAATCATTTTCACTAGTTTTTTTTTTTTTTTTAATTTATGAGTTAAAGCGGAGATATAATTAAATCTAAACTATTTTTTTATTTGTTTGCCTGATTTATTATCTATTTTTTTATTTATTGTTAGTTGCAGTGTTGTTTTCTATTATTATAATATTGTTGAAGGTAAAAAAATCTTTTATGGATTTTGGGCCAGTTTTTATTTTGTTATGGATTTAATTATGAAATACAGGTTGCAAGTTACGGTTAGTTAAAATATTAACAGAAGGTTTTGGTGTAATTTCTATTTGTTTATTAACTTGAAACCACATTTTGTTAATGATTGTTTTAGGAAACATGTTTTCAATCAAAATATTGTAAATTTTTGTTTTAGTTTCTTTTATTTATATATATATATATATATATATATATATATATATTATATATATATATATATATATATATATATATATATATATATATATATATATATATTCAAACTTCACTATTTTATTGGGAATAAGGTCACTTAATTATTATTTAATAAACTAATTAATATTCATTTCTTCTGTTTATTGACGTTTCGATCCTGGTATTTTCTTTTTATTAGTCAACCATGGGATCCTCTTCAAAGCTAGAATTTAAAAAAATAGAGCTTCGATCAGGCCAGGGACACACCGACAGCCTCAGCACCGTCCACTAGCACATATATTAAGCTACTCTTAATATATACTTACTATTACTACTCTTAATACTAGCTTAATATATGTGCTAGTGGACGGTGCTGAGGCTGTCGGTGTGTCCCTGGCCTGATCGAAGCTCTATTTTTTTAAATTCTAGCTTTGAAGAGGATCCCATGGTTGACTAATAAAAAGAAAATATCGGGATCGAAACGTCAATAAACAGAAGAAATGAACATTAATTAGTTTATTAAATAATAATTAAGTGACCTTATTCCCAATAAAATAGTGAAGTTTGAATTTAATACTCAAAGGTCGATGAAGGAAAAGTTGTAAATATATATATATATATATATATATATATATATATATATATATATATATATATATATATATATATATATATATATATATAATCTGTGATTTTGAATGTTAGCTATGGAAATTAAGAAGACTATCGCTTGTTATATTTTTTGTTTGATCCATTTTGTGTATAAAGAGTTGTCATTATTTGTAATAATTATTAAGTCCGAAAATCTCAACTTGTTATCTGTAGATTTTTTATTGTGAATATTATTCTTTTGTTATAACTTTAAAATATATCTAGCAAACCTTTAAATTGATCTTTTTCAGTTATGACGAATAAGTCATCTATATATTAATTCATGCGGACAGGTTTAATTATTATTTTGTCTAAGGATTTATTTATACAAAGAACCAAATAGTACACATAGAAAAATAATTGTAAAAACAATAAATTATAAAACAGATGATGAACGGGTAAGATTGGCAATATTGTTTATGTGATAAGTGTTTATAGAAATTTTTTTTTTTCCTCCTCTTCCTTGCCTTTCCTTGTCTATACAGAGGTTTTCCAGGACCAGGGAGAAGGGCGTGGGATTAATGCCTAGTTAAAAGTAATGCAACTTTATCCTTTTCGTTTTTTCCCATTACATATTATCCATTGGGACTGACCAGCCCGCTGCGTCATTCAGCAACTCAACATGGCTGAGTCGCTGTACAGTTTTGTTGTACTGCTCTCCTATAATGAAAAAGAGTTTGAAGAGGTTGATTCCTTTAACCCTTAACAGGTCATTAATAGATTTATCGACCACATTTATATATCCACTTTCACTCGCTTTGTCAGTCAATCTGATATACAGGGTGTTTCAGGGTTAAGTGGCCAAACTAACTAGTATTAAATCAAAGTTTTACTACAAAAAATCTGTTAATAATCCAATTAAAGGAGGATTTTCATCAGCGTGTCCACCATATTTTTTTTAATTTCCTTTTTGGGTATTTAGAATTTGCAATTAGAACGAATTAAAAAATTTCTACCACTTAAATATAACCAAAATGATGTGTAATATTATATGTAACTACATAATTGGTAATTGGTTGACTGTCGTGGATAATGAAGAGAAGAATAGTTGGGGTGCTCAGTCAAAAAGGAAGGCAAAAAATAAATTATAATATTTATTTCTTACATATGCCGACGTTTCGACCTGAAGTTCAGACCTTCATCAGGGCTAAGAAAATAACCAGATAACAAGGTATGAGAAACATAAGTAATGATGGTAAAAAAGATAATAAAAAATGAGAAAATAAAATAAAAAAAAAATTATTAGAAAAATAAAATAGATAGATATAAAGTAAAATGAAATTGTTAGAATAATGACTAAGAACTAAGATATAAATAATAAAAACTGTTACATAGTGTGGAATGATGAAGTAGGCATAATCAAAAAGGGGTGACAAAAGTGTTACATTGGGAATCTTAGAATAAAATGTAAAAACATAAAAAAGAAATATAAAGTTATATAAGAAATGAAAATAAAATAAATAGTAAAATTAAAAAATTGAGAATGGAGTAGTTAGATAGAAAATTGAGATATTGTAAAGTCTATCAAGATGTACAGACAATGTATAATATAATAAAGAGTTAAAAACAGAGAAAAGGAATGAAAGGAACGAGGGAAGAAATTGAGAAAGCTGAAATAAGAAAGAAATAAAAGAAGTACTACCTTTCTCCTTAAGTGTCAAGGGGAGAATAAAGTCGTTACAAGGGAGGGGGAGAGAGAAGGGATGTGAAGGTGGCGTCATCTCTAATGGTTATCAGACGAAGTTTGAACTAAAAGCGCTAGAAGCCTAAATAGGTACGAGAGATATATTATTTAGAAAAATTATGAAATTTATTTTTTGCCTTCCTTTTTGACTGAGCACCCCAACTATTCCTCTCTTCATTATATGTAACTACTCGTTTTATGTCTGTTTTGATTTAAAAATTAGATTAAACTCTGCTCGGATCTGATTTATAAAATTTGTTTCTCTTTCTCCTCCTCTCTCAACCTGGGAATTCCCTAAAAATGAAACTTTTTCTCTAAAGTGGAAACCATTGTTTTCATAACTTCATACGTTTCCTCCAATTTTAATTCATAATTTAGTGAATCAACTTTCAATTCATGCCTGAGAAATATTTTAAATGATATAACTTGAAATAAAAAATATTTTATTTTTTAAATAAATGAACAAATAGAGTATGTTCTTTCAGGTCCTGTGTAACACAAAAGAATATAATTACTTATAAACTTAGCAATAAGGATACAATGAATGCATTTTAAAAACACAGAATGCCTCTATTTCTCATTTTAAATTTAAAAATAATTAAATAACCGCTTTCCCAGGTCCTGTTAAATCCCATAAATCTAAGTATAGTTTCTTTTCTGGAAATAACAAACAACTGTTACTAAAAACTGAGTCATCTGATAAAATATCATCTTTGGCTGTTCTCCAATTGTCCACTTTTGAAACAAACTTACACTATAGTGTAATCTTATAAGATCCATTTTATAAGTGGATCTTTAGTTACTTACTTTAGAAAACGGTTCAGTCCCTTTTTTCTTTTTTTATTTAGTAGCTACTGATGAGCTTTAGTGTTATCAATAAACAAAAATTATAAACAGTGTACATAAATTAAAACAGAGTAAGAAGATGGTCCAGGGTGGCATTCAAAAAATGACTAAAATAGTTCATTACTATTTTAGTCTTTTTATGACCGCCACCTTGGACCATCTTGCTCAATAATATACCACAGTCAGCCATCAAGTATTCAATAAATTAAAATATAAATGATTTTTTTTGAAACCGCTAATCTCCGAAAGTTCTTCACTGATTGTTTTGAAATTTTGATGTCACAATCAAATTCAGGAATGTTTTTTTATACATTTCATTACCATCTGGCCTTCCGTTTCGAAATGGAGGCTGAAAAACGTTTATCACTATAGACTGTAACAATTTTAATGAAACTTGACTAAAGTCTTCCTCTTAAATTCCTTTTAATTTATGTATATAAAATGCTTCCCAGAAAAGAGGATGAAAAAAAAAATTATGATGGATTAATAACTTTATTTGTGAATAACTCAAAAACTGTACAATTTTTTACTGTCAATAACCAAATATATTTGAAAGCTTCCTGAATTCCCTACAAAAAGAAAAAAAAAATCACCGAAATAGGACGAATAGGTGTAGAGATATAGCATTTTAAACCTTCGAGTATTTGAATCTTCCTAAAGTTCCTACTTAATGAAAAAAAATTATCAAAATCGAAAAGAATCATGCCTGTAAACTTTTTTTTTTTTACTTTTTTCAATTTTCTTTGGTTTATATTTTTTAGGAGAACTCTATTTTGACTAATTTATGTTTAAAATATAGCTATATTATAAGTACAATATTGAAATCAAACAATTTTTACCGACTGAAGGAGCAACGGTTTCAAATATATTTTAAAGGAAAAACAAAATTGAGGTTACTATTTCGCAGCTGGAAAAACTCTTTAATACAAATTTTTGCCTAAAATTTTCGCTGAGTTTGGAAAGTAGGTTCAAATATTTTTTTGAAAAAAGTTACAATGGATTAACATTTTTATTTGCCTATAACTCAAAAAGGAAACAAATGGTACGGCACTGTTCCTGTAGTAAGCGCATATAAAAAAAAAGTGAATGTACGAATATAGCTACATGATAATATAAATGTACAAAAATAAAAAGTAATAACCATTTATTAACTAAGAGTAGAAAAAAAAATGTTGGAGACATGCAAATTCATTCATTACCCTCAAATGTTCAATGATTATGGTAGAATTTCGAGCACAGGGCAGACACTAGTAAAAATAAATGTATGAATGAATATACATATTTATTCATGAATATACATCCAGTAAATGTGAAATAGAGAAATATAATGGCATGAAAAGACTTGCAGAAAAACTACCGCTCTGTTATCTTTAATTTCAAATCTAAATTTAACATTCTTACACATATTTTTATAGGCATTTAAAAGAATGATAAAAATCAAATTCCAACTTAATTTATTCGACAAATGTCCACCTTTGATATGAGACCACTTCTATATACTTACTTTTAGAAATAAAAATTAATGTGAATCAAGAAAAACACAAAGTGAAATACTTCTTTAAAATCAACTTGTTTTATTTTGATAAACTGGATTGTATTAGCATAATAAAAGTTTCTTATTTTAATATAAAAATATTTATTAACATTTTGACATTACAAAAGAATACATAAAATAATGGTTTCTGTTTTACAGAGCAAAAAATGAATAATTAATTTAATAAAATAAATTGGATGAAAGTTTAATAATTAATAAATTTTGAAATATTGATTATTTTTTCTTATTTCATAGTAAGCATCTTTAAAAATTACATACAATTGATATCAAATCTTACTTCATCTAATAATATCTTCAATTAAAACTAGTTCATAACCAGTGAAAGAAATTTTTATAGTTTTACCATTAAGGTTATATTATAATTAAGAAAACTTTATTTCTTACAATGAACAGAAAAATTAGAATGATGTTATTCAATGAAAAATAACAGGATATATGATTTACTTCATATATCAGATTGTTAGAACATAGAAAATTAATTAATATTCATTTAATGGGAATAACATTGAAAATAAGAAAACAAAATACAATATTTTAAATGAGTATAAAATATGTCATGGTATCAATTTTTTTTTTCTTTACAAAAATGAACCTAAGGTAGTCTCTGATAAAATCAATAATATTTATAAATATTCTGAAGATTTTTTCAACGGTTAATACTATTTACATATGAACAAATAAATAATTCTGACATTTAATAAGTCTGTTTCACAATGAGTATTTGCTTTAAGTAGAAAACAAAGATAATTTTAGAAGTTCCTTTCTATAAGATGCTTAATAACTTCTTCCGAATAGAGTATATTGCTTCGGCTTATTGCTACATTTAGGATTGATACACTTATCTGAGTCAGAAATACCAGGTTTCGGCTGTTCAAAAGGAATACAAAGACTTTTGGCTCCCATTGATGGAGCATTCGTATCAACATCTTTGTCCGCTCTTGTGCTTCCTTCTTTTATTTCTTCTTCGCATTTAATTTCACCACAGAACGGGGACAATAGAAGACATTTATTGTCTAATGATGGACAAAATTCTTTCCAATTTTTGCATACCACCAATTTTTCATTCAATTCTTTAGTGGCTTTTTGTAAGAGGGATTCTTGAATGTTGTCTAGAAGGTCTTTGATGGAATTCACCATTCCCGACATAGATATCGAAGCCCTGGCACCAGTATCTCTACGTACCGTGACGATTTGATTTGCTAGTAAATCTTTGGGGCCGACTTCAACACGAATCGGAACACCTTTAAGCTCCCAATGATTGAATTTCCATCCTGGAGAGTAGTTGTCTCTATAATCTCCTTCTACTTTAATACCTGCTTCCTTCAGTTCTACCTCGATATTACGACATGTTTTTAAAAGTTTTTCTTTTTCACTTTCTGAAAGGGAAGCAGTTATACCACAGGGGACAATTACAACTTGAACAGAAGCTACTCGTGGTGGTAATACTAACCCTTTATTATCAGAATGTACCATAATCATAACTCCAATAGTCCTGGTAGTGAAACCCCATGAATTCTGGAATACGTATTTTTTCTCTTGCGTTTCTGGATCTTCATAAACGATCTCAAACATTTTGGAGAAATTTTGGCCAAGATGATGGGAAGTAGCTCCTTGAATCGCTCTACCGCTGGCGGAAATGTATGCTTCAACAGTGAAAGTGTATTCACCTCCAGCAAACTTTTCTTTCACTGTTTTTACTCCTTTAATTACGGGTATAGCAAGTAGTTCTGTGTAAACTCTTTCATATAAACCGAGAATGTATTTAACTTCTTTTTCAGCTTCACTTTTGTCAGCATAAGCTGTATGACCTTCTTGCCATAGAAACTCTCTCGTCCTTAGGAAAGGCTGAGGATGTTTGAACTCCCACCTGACTACGTTATTCCACTGGTTAAGCTTGATAGGTAGATCCCTGTAAGATTGAATCCACTTGGCATACGCTGGGTACATAACAGTTTCGCTCGTTGGACGAATAGCAATGTGCTCAGCTAAATCGCTTTCACCAGATTTCGTTACCCAGGCTACTTCCGGAGCAAAATCTTCTATATGATCTTTTTCTTTTTCTAATACAGATCGTGAAACGAAAATGGGAAAATAACAATTCTTCACACCTAATTGCTTTATTTCTTTATCGAAGAATTCCTTAAGTACTTCCCAAATTGCAAAAGACCATGGTCTAAGAATATAACAACCGCTGACATCATAATATTCAATGAGTTCTCCTTTAGTTATAACTTGAGAATACCATTCGGGCAGATTATCTTCTTTTGTGAATTCAATTCCAAGTCGTGTAATTTTCTTTACAGAACTCTCCTTCTCAATAGGGGAACTTTCCTTTTTTTGGGAGTTTTTAGGCAAATTAGTTGCTTCAGGTTTTTCTTTCTTTGGTTTGCTTTTTTTGTTCTGCCCCTGATTTTCTGAAATAAATTCCTTTCCAGTTACACTTTTATAATCAGCCTTCAAACTAAGAAGTTTTTGTACAGCTTCATTGATAGTTTCTTTTGCAGCTCCAGATGTTTTTAAATTTCGAACTAAATCTCCCTGTGCTTTTATTTGTGATTCTATAACACTGCTGTCTGTCTGTGGATTGGATTCATTAATGATGTTAGCACACTTTTCGCTATCGACTGTTTTAGAAGTTGGTACAGCATTTTCTTTTTTCTGTTTGCTTTTTTTACTCTGTCCCTGATTTTCTGAAATAAATTCCTTTCCAGTAAGAATTTTATAATCGGCCTTCAAACTAAGAAGTTTTTGAACAGCTTCGTTGATAGACTCTTTTGCAGCTCCAGACGTCTTTAGATTTCGAACTAAATCTCCCTGTGCTTTTATTTTTGATTCTATAGCACTACTATCTGTTTGTGAATTCTGTTCATTACTTAAGTTAGTAGATTTTTCACCATCGGATGTTTTATTCTCTAAGTCTTTTGCTGCATCTGGAGTCCATTCTTTACCAGACAATTCTTTATATTCATTTTTAAGACCCAATAAAGTTTTTACTTCTGTTTCTATAATGTTCTTGGCTGCTTTGTCTGATTTTAATTTTCTTATTTTGTCTCCTTGCTCTTTGATTTTTATCAGCGCTCCTGAAATACTGGAAGAAACCAAATTGCTATCACCACTAGGTTTTGACGAAGGAGTCCATTCCTTTCCTACCAATGATTTATATTCAGCTTTGAGCGAGAGCAATTCTTGAACATGTTCAGTGATTATAGCTTTATCTGCTTTTTCACTTTTCAAATGTCGAATTTTATCTCCGAGTGCTGATATTTTACTATTCAAATCCTCTTGTTTTGTGTCAGTTGAACTTTCTTTCGGACCATTACTATTAGAAAATTTCTTAATATCAATATCAGGCTTCCAATCAAGACCAGTAAGCGACTTAAAAGTACCTTTTAATTTTAACAATTTAGAAACTTCTTCATCAACTGACGATTTTTCAGCTTTTTGCTGTTTCAAAGTTCTTACCTTATTACCTTGTTCAACGATATTATTGTGCACAGATAACGGATCTTCCGTAACTTTTGATTGCCCAGATGAATCATTAGGTTCATTTTTAGTTAATTCTAAGTCAGGCTTCCAAGCCTGACCTGTTAATGATTTGAATGAATCTTTGAGTTGTAACAATTTTTTAACTTCATCATCAATAATTTTTTTATCTGCCTTTTGTTGCTTTAAATGTCTAACTTTATTGCCTTGTTCTAAGATTTCTTGGTTCAATACGACTTTATCATTTGATTTCATGAGCTCAGATTTTATAACGGGTTTTTCTTCTTTAGATTTCAAGGAAGTTGGAATTACTGTAGGCATTTCTTTGGTATGGCCATCAGGTATAAAGAACAATACGATAGGCTTTTCTCTCCCAGTGTGAATACTGGGCTCAGAATAGGGTACATCGCAAATAAAAAATCCTTTTCTCTGAAGCTGAATTATTTCAGATTTCTTCACATTAGCTAACTCAGGGTCTCCAATCATTTTAACTTCAGTTTTAGTATTATGGCTGATATATTTTTTAAAATCTTCATCTTTTCCGAGCACAGGTTTGCTGATCAAGAAATCATAATACACACAGATGCATTCTACACACTTTGAACGAGGAGTATCTGCTAGCCAAGTTAATTTCAAAGTCTTCTTGTAATTTTTGTCTTCGAAATTAGGAATAGCCAATATCTTCTCAATTTTATCATTTTTTTTCATTATTGTTTTGATAGATACATTCCCCCAATTGATCAAAGTAATATTCTCACCTTCTTTAACAAGTATTGCATCAGCTTCATCAATCCATACTTTCGGAGCTAGCCAAACATTTTTCTCTCCAATATCGGGATTTTTGGGATGCTTCATGGCTTTGACTTCTTGTTCATTAACACCTTCAATAATTACAGGTACCTTATGGATAGCGTCAACAGCTGTATATCTTGGTGCAACTGGATCGATAACTTTTTTATTAATAGCCCAAATCTTGTCCCATTCCATTACTACTACTGACCTCGAGGATCCCTGAGCTGTTATGAATTGCTTGAGGCCTTCAACAGTCATCCCTCTACGAAGCACGCCTCTGACAGTTGGCATCCTTGGGTCGTCCCAACCATCTACATGGCCATTTTCGACAAACCATGTCAATTTCCTCTTAGAAAGTACAGTATTAGTCATATTAAGTCTCGAATATTCCCAAATATACGGCTTTCTCAAACCTAACGCATCTATAAACCAAAAGAACTGCTCATCTCTGTCATGATATTCCATAGTTCTCAAAGAATGAGTAACACCTTCAATACTATCAACAATGGGGCAGGCAAAATCATAAGTGGGATAAACTTTATATTTTGAACCTGTTTTAGGATGAAGTTCGTTCTTACATCTATAAATAGTAGGATCTCTCATGCAACCGTTTAAAGATTGCATGTCAATTTTTGCTCTAACGCAGCATTTTTGACCCTTTTCTGTACCAGCTTTCATTTCAGACCACATGGCAATATTTTTTTCAACATTATTGTTCCTATTTTTGGATTCTAACTTTTGCTCCCTCTCTTGCTTCATGATCTCTGGGTCTGTATCATCAACGTAGGCTTTACCACTTTTTAAAAGAAATTCACACTTTTCTAGAATTAAATCAAAGTGGTCTGAAGTATGAGAAAAAATATCATAATCAACTTTTAACAACTGTAGATCTTCGAGAATAACTTTTTCGAAATCTACTTTTTCTTTAGCAGGATTTGTATCATCAAACCTCATAATAAGTTTACCTTTAAAGGCATCCCTGTAATACTGATTAAGTAAAGCTGCTTTGGCATGTCCTATATGTAAATAACCGCTGGCTTCAGGAGGAAATCGAACTATCACCTTTCCAGTTTCAGCTCCAGGTAATTCAACAAACTTACCCTCCTCCTTCCTGGTAGAAAACACACCTTCATCTTTTTTCTCAAATAATGTTGCTTCAGCTGGAAGCGAATTCATAGCATTTTTGACACATTGCAAATTTCCAATTAGTGAAAACCAGCGATAAATGTTTTTTGGAACCTTTCCATCATCTACTAAGCCATTCCAATTTTTGTTAGTAACAAGTTTCGACCAAACAGATACATCTGCAGCAGTCAACACATTACCAACTAGGTAAGTAACAGAGGAAAGAGTGGTGTCCAGATAACTTAAACATTCCATATATTTCTTCTCACAAGATAAAGGACCTAAAGAAAACGTAATCCAACTGTCAACCTCGCATTTTTGAAGTGGTGTAGTGCCATAAACCTGCTTTTCAGTTCCTTTATTGCAAAAGTAACGAAATACAAATGGTTCAGAAGAAAACACCTTATCGTTTTCAATTAACAACTTGGTTTCTTCACACCACTCAATAGGGACTTTAAAATCTAAGTACTTAATAAGTATTAAAGGTGCTAACGGTACCTTTTTTGTATTTGCTTTTAGTTTCATATTCACAAATTGTTTCAATGTTCACTATTAAACGTAAATGTTAAGAGTTTCTTATTACTCGTAATCAAAAGAAATTGAATAATAAGTTATAGAACTTATCACTAACAGAACAATAACTTATCACGTTTCCAACCTGGACCACTGTTGTAACCTTCCCTTAACAATTCAGCATTTATTAAACCAGTGAATTAATTGCTATGGAAAAAAAATTAATAACATGATGTTGAAATAATTGAAAAGATAGTTAAATTTTTCAATGTAGCGACATGTATGAAAAATTTAATATTAATTTTTTTTATACATTATATAAGAGAGGGGGGGGGGGAGGAATTCCTATCACTTCCACCAGAGAAAGTTTAAGATTAATATATATATTAATATATTAGCGACACGTATTTGTATGTGTATTGTAAGATTAACATATATATATTAATCTTAAACTTTCTCTGGTGGAAGTGATAGGAATTCTCCCCCTCTCTCATACATAATGAATAATAAAAATTAATATTAAATTGTTCATACATGTCGCTACATTGAAAAATTTAACTATCTTTTAATAATATGATGTTAAAATAATTGAAAAGATAGTTAAATTTTTCAATGTAGCGACATGTATGAACAATTTAATATTAATTTTTATTATACATTATATAAGAGAGGAGGGGGAGAATTCCTATCACTTCCACCAGAGAAAGCTTAAGATTAATATATATATATATATATAATTGCGTTTATGCATTTCACAAACTATGGGACAAACAAATATATAAATGATTATTTCACTGTTCTGGTGGTGTTTTGTTTCTTGTTTTTGATATTTTCCATCTACTGTCGGTTACAAGAGAAATAAAATAAATAGTTTATTACACATATACATTATACAATAATGTCGCTTTTAGTTAAGTTAAATAATTGAGTTTCTTTTTACAAAAAATTATCTTAGTATTTATCAATGACATGATTGTTTCCATACAACATTATTTCCTTTTTTCTTTTTACCTTTCTAGACCTGATATCGGCCATTAGTAGTTTTAAAAACAGCTTTGAAGAAATATATAAACTACATCTTTTGATCCTTTTCACATTACTTTTTTTTAAGTTAATTGGTCAAGAAGTAAAATTAGCTTGATACTACAACGCACACAAACTACTCAAAACTTTATATAAAAATCTGGTGCGCACAACACACAACTTTCACTTACTCTTTGAACTTTGAATAAAAATTATTTTCTGGCCATGTTAGGCTATTATAAAATGTTTTAAATTGCATTTTAAACTGAGCTAAAGCTAACAAATCACAAATGCTACTAATATAACAAAAGTCCTATTTATTATATCACCGGTTGATTATGGATTGTACGATTCGTTGATTATGGATTGTTCGATCCATTGATTATGGATTGTACGACTATAAGTCATTAAACTGTTATTTTCCATTGCAAAGTTTATTAAAACGGAATTAAGAGATTTGCAGTGTCTGTCATAGACAGGTCAAAAGTTGTCACACTAATTGTAGGTGGATTCTGTTGGAATATCGCAAAGAGAAAAATGATCAAATTATTCACTAATTTAATTTTCTAAAAGATTAATTTTTAGGAATAAACGGACGATAGATATCTAAATATTTAAATATATTATGATTTGAGTTCTACCAATGGGTAGTTTCTCTTCATGTTGTACATGCCATGTTACAAATTTCTCATTTACTTATTGTATTCTCTATGTAATACAGTTGTAAATTCCATTGAAATAAAAAAAAAAAAAAAAAAATATATTATGAGATCTAGATTTATTAAACTACAGTAAATATATTTAGGGTTATAAACGTATCCATGAAATATTTTTATATTTCACTTCCTTTTTCACACAAGTACAATGAAATAGTAGTGTAATATCACAAAGGGAAGATAGAATTATTCACTAATTTAGTTTTCTAAAAAGTTATATGACAATATTTTGGAATAAACTTTAATACCTAATTATTTAGAAAGAAATACTTTTTTTAAAAGTAATGCTGCCCTACTAAATAGGGTTGTTTCGTACACAGCGTACTTGTCTATCGATATGGAACATTAATTTTATATTATATATATTTTTTTTTCTCCCCCTTCATAACAATACTCTTACAAATTATCAACAATAAACCATATTAAACAATTAAACACTTTCCCAAAATAAAATTCCTTTTTTCTCTTTAAATTCTCAAACGCCAGGAACGCAATACAACATCGCACACATATATAACACAGCAATTCCTTGAATGTAGCCAAAAAGATAAGACGATTATGGACCAATTTAAAATTTAATAAATAATCACTAAACTACAGTAAATGTATTTATTAATATTATAAACACATGATTTATACATCCATGAAATGAATTTATATTTTATTTCTTCTTTCACTCAAGTACAATGAAATAGTTTTTTTAACAATGCCATTAACTTGCTTAGGTGGATTTTAAATACTTTCTACAGACGTAAAAATATTTTTTAAAGTTTACATTTTGTCAGTAAATTTCATTTAATTTCCTTGAAAGCATGTGATTTACGTTAAATATTATCAGTTGTCAAAAATTTAACGCTGTGAAAGTTTGAAAAGCTGGATCGATTTAAAATCACTAAGACTAGCATCGCTGAATTTACAAAATCACTTACTAAATTTACAAAATTGGTATTCACTTTGGGAAAATTAGATTAAATCGTGACAAATCACAACACATAACATTTACACTTCGACGAGACACATGCCCACCAGTTTATATCGGCGACAACCAAATTCCCCAGACCGACACTGTACGTTACATCGGCTTAATATTTGACAGAAGGATGACCTGGGGCCCACATGTCAAAATGAAAAGAAAAACTTTGAACAAGCGACTGAAAATACTGTCCTCACTTTTTTCCAAATCAAAATTGAAAATCAGCCAAAAAGTACATACACTTACATACTCAAACCCATACGCCTCACAAATTGACGGTTCTGCAAAGAAAAGACGCACTTATAACACAAAATTTTACGACTTATAACAAGAGCTCCTTGGTACGTTAACACTTTACATAACGACTTACGACAACCAACTATTGACCAACAGATACCTGATCTCTATTCCATATTTCATCTTAAACTACACGGACATCAGAACGGACTTATTAACGACATGGCCACAGCTGACATGCCTATCAGGTGACGACTAAAGAGGAGCTGGATGAGAGATCTCCTTTCTTGAATTAAGGAAATAAATCAAGACCAGGAAGAAGTGCTGCTGGGTACTATTTATTTCCTCTTGCCTAAAATGTCAATTTTTCGTATTAGTTAAAGCACATCTGCTTATTGTCAAGCTCATGACAGGTGTGGATGGAAATATGAAGAAAAAAAAAATTTAACCCATAGTGCTTATGATATTTTGTTTTTTATTTTCCCTAATTCCTGGTTTTCTTTTCATTTAAATAATGTTTTTTTTTTTCTAAATGGTGTTACTTTTTTATTTGTTATAATATACTTTCACTGAAGATACTGTATAGGGGACCCTACGCGGTCAATCGGAATTGCACTAATGACGTTCCGAATTGTCGTGTAAGGTAGTGAATGAAGTACTGATGGTGGTGCGCTGCGGATTTCCGAACATCCGGAAATCAAAGGTTCATTCACGATAAGTGGAGGGGGGGCTGAGGTAAAAGTAGTGGGGGGGCTAACCATACTACTAGATAGGTTAGTTTACCTAGGCCTCGTTATTAAGTAAATAATTTCATAAAAGTAAATAGTTGTTTATATCCCTAGTCTATATTATTATTAACCATTTTCAACTATTTTTTCTTTAAATAGTCAAGTAGGCAATAAATTGAAGAGAAAAAAAAGTGGAAACTTCACGATTTACTTATAGAAAAAAAAATCATTAACTGTTGTGTTTATTTTTCATTAATTAATTCCATTTTTCTTAACAAATTGATTATTTTCGCAATACTTTTCATAGATTTGACTTATATTTTTCTAACTTTGATCTAAGCGATTTTCAGGCACTAGGAAGTAATTATTATATCTCCATTGTTCTCTTGATGCCCAATATTATAAATGACAATGTCCAAATAAGCATATCTAGGCTATTTCTTTATTTACAACTGAACTAAATTGGCTTCAGCAATGATAAGTAATGATCAGTAATGATTGAACGTGTAAGGGTCTTCATGATCAAAACGATAGCGGGCAATCTTGGAACTTCTTGTGACGTTCATGCATGAATTACCGTGTAGGGTCTGCTTATGTATTCTTTAATTTTGATTAATATAATTTTTGGCCAGATGTTGTTTTTATTTTTTGTTCATAGTTGTTATTCATAAGGGACCTCGTCTCAACATACAAAGTTGTGTGTAGTCTGATTTAATAATATTCCACTTTATGACATGAAACTTAAAAACAAGACATCTTTTAATGTTTTCATATAACTATCTAAAATAGTGGATATTTAAAAGTTAAAACAAAGTAACAATACCAATATGAATTGCATTGGGGAAAAAATTACTGGGATTGTTTTAAGTTTTTTATTATTTTTTTTAGCTCCATTATTAAATTTATTCGAAGTCTTAAACAATAGAAATAAAAGAACCTTTTCATTTGTTGGCACAACAAACAAAGAAGTGACAAACACTATGTATTTAGGATATAAGAAATTGAATTCAATGATGTCATAAGGCCACAAGCAAGAATTTGGTAACAGGAGTACACTCAAAGGATTGGGGAAAAAAATATTAAAACACTCATAAAAATTAAACAGCTCTATGGAGACCATAACGAGACCTCTCTACGCTAGAAATGACACTAAGCAGAAAGAGAAAGAAGAGTAGAAATTGAAGTCCTTATGGCAAATACAATGATAAGCATAAACTTGAACATATAATTTTATATTATTATAAAATAACATATTATTATAATAACATATAATATAATTTTTGGCCAGATGTGGTTTTTATTTTTTGTTCATAGTTGTTATTCATAAGGGACCTCGTTTCAGAATAAAGTTTATTTTCTATCCTATTCTATTCTTTGTACAAGCAAAAGTAATAAAATGAAAGTCAAAAGAGAAAATTTTAAGATAGTACAAATAACAAAAATATATACTTATTAAATATACAATAGTATGACACGAAACGA